ATATATACAGTTTTAAAGAAGTAATTGGCCAGGAAATATTTGACATTTTTTTCCTAATAAAAATGTAAATTGAAATAACATACCATTTTATATAATATTTATAATAATCATTTTTGTTTAATGTTGATAAGATTAAATCAAGGAAAGTATATTGAGAAGAACTCTCATTCACTGTTTGTAGGAATGTGAATTGATTCTTACTTTTTGAAAAATAATTTAGAAATAGGCATCAAAAATTATAAATGGTTTATCACCTGTGATCTAATAGCTCCAGCCTCAAGAATCCATTTGACTAAAATAATCAGATGTAGACAAAATTCTGAATAAATATTCTTATTTTAGCACTCTTTATAGTAGCTAAACATTGGAAACATAAATGTCCAATACAGTAATGTTGGACATTGAAATGAAAAAGTACATATACAAATGGAGCATCTTACATATTAAACTGTATAAATAATATTTATAAATATGAAAAGCAAAGGAAATACTGATAACTTTTTTCAAGTTAAAAATAATTAAATCCAGTAATTCAATAGTCTAAGAAAAGAAGCAACAAATAAACCATTTAATGCAAAAATATATAAATAAAGTCTGGAAGTAAATTCAAACTATTATCATGGAAGAGTGGGCGCAGCCTGTCCTGGGAGCCCTTGAATGGGGCATAGGAAGGGAAAACCCTAATTCTGCTCATGACCCTTTTTCTTGACTCTTTTTTGCACCCTCTACACACTCTGCATCTGCCTTACTCCATCCTACATCAACCCATGTCTTTCAGGATAGATTAGAAGGTCATGGATACATACCAACAAGGACAGTCAAATAGAAGATAAATTTCATAGCAATCTAGATCTTTCCCTGTGACGTATAGGAGAAGATCAGTAGAGTATGGAACTTTTTCAGCTCAGTCTTCTCCTTGAGAACACCTGGTAGAATCAGTGGATATGGTTAGGCATGGGGTTAGGCAATGAGATTGGAAAGCAGCTCTTGGCTTAAATGGGGACAGAAGAGGGTTCCACATAGACAGATGGAGGCTCTTCTGCACCAGGAAGGAGGGGACTATACCTCTGTTGGGGTCTTTCAGGGAAGGAAGGAAAAAGAACCTATTTCTTTAGATTTCTGGATCCAGGTTTCTCTATCTGCTGTTCCTAAAAACCCATCTGACTAAAAGTAGTTCAGCTGTCTCTGGGTAAGGGAGCTTTATACTCAGGACTTATATTCTCCATGGAGTGTCTGAGGCCAGGATTATAGGGGACAGAATTCTGCACCTTAGCTCAAGAAGACAGTGTCCCCAAATTTGCTCTGAACCCCCTAGTAGTTATTTATACTTTTCCCTCAGCCCCTCCCTTCTTTATTACATTAGATTCATCTTCCTCTGGGGTTACTGTTTCATCACTCAGTCATCACCACCAACTTAGTCTGGCCATCCTGATCAACAGTTTTGAGCTAAGAAAATCCTATATAATAAAGAGGTAATATGCAAATGATCATTACGTCATGATGGTAACAACCTAGAGCAAGAGAGTGGGGCAGCAAGCTACATGTGGCAGAAACTACAGAAGGACAGGGAAGCCAGCTGAGGCAAGTGGCAGCGAGCTACTTGCACACTGATTCATGCAGTGTCACTAGTATAGGAATAAAAAACATTCATAGAGCAGTTATTTTTACATTTGGAGAATGGTCTGAATTCTAGATTACATCAGCTATAGGATCTACTGTGTGTAGATGATAGTTAAGAAGGCAGGATCTTGAAGTGTTTTTTTTTTAACCGAATGAAAAGGTTTCTCAGCCAATTACCTGCCTCTTTCATCTTGGAATAATTGGGACTACACTTTAACAAGAAAAAGAGCAGTAATGCTGATAGTTAACACCCATTGAATGCTTACTGAATCCTAGGCACTGAACTAAGTTCTTTAGAGACATTGTTAGTAGTGATTTTATATTAAGCTACTCTAATATGATGTAAATTACACTTTTGTATCACTATAAACCTTAAAATTTTCTTAAGCCCACAATATCATTTCAATGTCACAGCTGGGGAAAGAGGAGTCAGGGCTTGGCTGATATAATTTTTTTCTGAAGCTGTAGGTTACACCTGAAACAGGGAGAATTTAATTTTTTCAAAATCACTCAGGACTGGAAAGACTAGAAGTCAAATCTGGGTCTTGCTGGATAAACACAGCTTTTCAAGAACATACTCTAGGCTGCATCTAATCAACCAGCATTCATGAATCTTGAGAAACTACACAAAGTTCTCTCACACCATGTCCCTCAAGTGTGAAATGAAAAGCAGATGTGGCACATACTTTTCTGAATCTTGCAATGAACACAGAGGTGGAGAGGGCTGCTTAAGGAAATGCAAGTGGGGCAAAAGTAGGTTTACAGTTGTGTGTACATGAAACACAGAGCTTATTCTGGTATTACTATTTATTAAGTATCATATTATTTTCCATAAGGGCAATTGTAAACCGACTTTTGCCCTACTCTGGATACTGAGGTTCCAAGACAACATGGAGTTGTGGAAGGTTTTCTGTGGTGGACTTAGTTAACATAGGTGAAAAGTTAAGAAAGAGATATACTTACTCTGAGGTTATTTCCCCCAGATATTTGGAAATATTATGGGCTAGGATGGGAGTGTGATTCCTGGTTTGGGAGTGTGAGATCTAAGAGCAGAAAAGCAGGGTCACTATCTAGGAAAAGATCTGTAAAACACAATAGATTTTCTGGGACTGGTTTGGCTCAGTGGATAGAGTGTTGGCCTGTGGACTGAAGGGTCCCAGGTTTGATTCCGGTCAAGGGCATGTACCTTGGTTGCGGGCACATCCCCAGTGGGGGGTGTGCAAGAAGCAGCTGGACGATTTTTCTCTCTCATCGATGTTTCTAACTCTTGTCCCTCTCAATTCCTCTGTGTAAAATCAATAAAATATATTTAAAAAAAAGATTTTTTCTGGAGGAGGTTAGGACTATGACCTCTCTATGAGTTTCAAATTGGCATCTCTAGCCCAGACTTCCAATCCCACGTCTTCATATGCCTCTCAGAAGCTATTGTTGCCCTCTTCCTTAGGCCCCTGACATTTAGCATATTAAAATTACACCCCTCATTTCTCCAGCCTTTCAGATTCATTTTTTTTTAAATCTGTTTTCCTTATTTTGGGAGATAAATCTACTTTCCACTTGTTTGGTTTCTCTCTTTTTCTCACCACTCAGTCCCCAAATCCTCCCTATTTTGAGGTATTCCTAAAATCCATCGATATCTTCCCATTCTCACTGTTGTCATTCTAATCTAGGTCATGTCTCCTATGAGCTAATGTATGTGACCATCCATTGTTTCCCAAATTGACTTTCTCTCTGATTCAGAATTGTTTTTTCTCTAAAATCCTAATGAGGTCATATTAGTCTTCTTAAAACTTTTCAGTAGTTCCCTTCTGCTTAAAGAATAAACCCAAGTAAGGTTTAGGGAGCGCCCTTGATCCTCATCTCATTTTGTCTTTGTCAGCCTTTCTTTTCATCCCTCTTTGATACTCCTCTCCCACTTGGCCAACCTATACACCTTTTTTATTTATTTATTATTATTATTTTTTAATATATTTATTTTATTGATTTCAGAGAGGAAGGGAAAGGGAGAGAGAGACAGAAATATCAATGATGAAAGAGAATCATCAATTGGCTGTCTCCCGCACATCCCCCACTGGAGATTGAGCCCGCAACCTGGACATGTGTCCTTGGCCAGAATCGAACCCGGGACCCTTCAGTCTGCAGGCTGACACTCTATCCACTGAGCCAAACTGACTAGGGCTTTTTTTTTTTTTTTTTTTTTTTTTTTTTTTGAGGCCTACCAAACTGAATGTGGGTTTTCTTGTTTTAATACTAATAACTTTAGCCCTTAACTCATCCTTAAGCTTATGAATCCCATTTATTTTTCTCTTTTTGTTTTAGGTTATTGATAGTTCTTAAAGCTTCTCTTTGAAAAATTAACTTTAGAATCTTATGGATGGGTGGATGGTATGCATGTGTGTGAGATATTCAACATTTTCTCATATGTTTGTAAATAAGTTGTTATTAAGTTCTTTGTCTATTACTGTTATTTTAGCTTCTCTGTACATATGGAGACATATCTATCCCCAGTCTTACTCCACAGAATATCCCAAGTTTGTGAGACTCTAAATCTATTATTGTTTTATTCTGCCATCTGGTTTACCATTTAAGTAATACTCTTGTCATATTTTGCCACCAAAAATAAAAATTAAAAAGGCAGATAGAAAATACAGAGAGAGAGAGAGAGAGAGAGAGAGAGAGAGAGAGAGAGAGAGAGAGAGAATGTGAGAATGCGAGAGAGTGCACAAGTGAGTCTAAGCAGGCCATGTCTGAGGAGATAGTGTGATGGGTATTGGTTGGGAACTTTTATTCAAATTGACATCTATGGTTGTGTAGTATGGATCTGTACAAGTGAAGCAGTTCTGAGCAAGGGTGGGCTAAGTGTGACATATGCATAAAGGGGAGGGGAGTCAGTGTCACACAGAGGGGTGGTGACAGCTCTGCTTCATCATAGTAGTCCAGAACGGAAAGGGGTCAATGGGACATGTAGAGGGAGGGGTGCAAGTCACACACTGTGGGGAAGGAACTGGTGAAAAAACTGAGAGCCAAGGGAATGAACTTGGGATGAATTTTTAACTCTACAGAAAGTTAATTGACTCCTACTTTGGAATTCTTTTCCCTAGATGAGGTGGATAAGGCTGAAATCCTGGGAACTCATCATCCCATAGGGTGGATTTTTTACTTTGGCTGAGAAGATTTCTGTATCTACTGTCCTGTTTTACACTGAGGCTCAAGACCAGAAAGAGAGCCCTTGAGACTACAAACTTGTACAGAGTCCTCATCCTGGTTCAGTCCCCTGCACCTCCTCCCACTGAATCCCCACGCAGGTTATAAGTTCAATCCCTGCTTTGTGCCTACGAGTTTCCACTACATCCTTATCTTCAGAACAGGATTCAGGCATCAACATGAAGTGTGTCCTATTAACCTTACTGATTGTGACTGGTGAGTGATGGCCAAGTTGATTAGGACTCTGTTGGGGAGGGGGACAGGGGGTGGAATGATGATGTTTGGAGCTTGTTGGAGAAGGAGAGCTGGTGGATCAGGAACATGGAAGTTTGGGAAGTAGGTGATATACTGGTCATTTTCTGTATAGATTCAGCAATTTGTTGTATTTAACTATACCTTTTTATTATGGGCTTAAAACCTCCTCTGAATGTCTAATAACCTTCTTTAGTTGAAACATGGAGGATCTCAGAAGGGAGGATGGAGATAGGATCCTGGAAGAGGGCATAGAAATTTATAAAAGAAAATAAAAAGCAAAGACAGCAGGTATTTTGCTGTGTGATTCAAAAGGAAAAAGTAGATTTTTGGGGGGGAGGGGAGTTAAAATGTGTAATAAATAATAATAGTCAAATCACCACCACCACCATAAAAGCATATCCTATATAATAAAGAGGTAATATGCAAATGATGCAAATGATAATTACACCGTGACACATTATGACCAAACAACAGGAGGGCGGGGCAGAGAGCTATGTGTGGCAGAGAGCTATGAGTGGTGGTGGGCTGGGTGGCCCCCTGAGGCAAGCAGCAGTGAGCTACTTGTGCATGGATTCCTACGCAGGGCTACTAGTACTTATATAATGGACACTGCCCTGTTTTCTACATATTAACTCATTTAATTCTTATTAAAACTTTTTGAGATAAGTATTGTTCTTATTTAGTTGATAAGAAACTGAGACACAAAGAAATTATCTTGCCCATAATGAAATTAGTATGGCTCTGTAATTATCAATAATGCTCTTCTACTTGGACAAATACCCTAACCCCTCTGAACCTCAGTTTTCTTATATGAAAAATGGGAAAAATAATGTCTGTCTTTTAATGATATGTAATGCTTCCTAAACTTATAGTAGACTGACTGTAGTTAACCAAGTTAAGTGTAGTAGGGGGTGGGTAGGTTGTTTCATTCACACAGAGGAACCAGCAAGTGTGAAGGTCATGAAGTGGGACATACTTAGCAAAAAGACCACCCCTATTGCTGGATGCAGAGGAAAGAATAAGATTAAGAGTTATATAGTATAGAAGACCTTCTAGTCTTGCTTTTAGAAATGATTATCTTAGTGTCATGATGTCTGGTCCTAGAGCATCCCTACAATTGACTAGTAGGGAAAGTCAGGGAGCTTGGCTGGATAGAGCTAAGAAATAATAAGATTTTAAGAGACTGGAAATAAACAAGGATGTCTGGAAAGAAGTAGGGAAGTCAGGTAGAGAAAAAATGCATCAGATTTGGAATCAGATACACTGAAGTCTGAATTCTTTAACCAACCATAGTCCACTATTTGTATGGCCTCGAAGAACTTTCCTAATGTTAAGTTCTTACTCTGTAAAGTAATATAAAATAAATCTACCCAACAAAAAAAATCTAAAAGTATGGGAGGTGCTTAGTACAGTGTTTTTATCGTATGGTTTTCTAGTACCATAGTATGGGGCCTATGTGATTAATAAGTGGTAAATACTGATATGGACTGATACTGGCATCCTAAAATGTCCATAACCAGCCTGTTTCCTTTAATCAGCTGGGTTATCTGTTGACTCTCTTCTCTCTGTGTCCCAGGTGTTGTTCCATTCATTAGTGAAGAAGCGGGAGACTTAGGTCAAATGCTGTACTTATCATATCTGAAATCTAGTTACAAGCCCTGTGTGGGGACTCTGATTGCCCCTCAGTGGGTGGTGACAGCAGCACACTGCTTCTTACCGTAAGTACTGAGGATCAGTACCCTCTGTTCTAAGGCTCCAAAGCTGGGCCTCAATACTCCTTGTGCTAGTCAGGAAATCCTAGGACTATGATGGTCCAGGAGAGCTTAGCTAATCAGATAACATTTGACCAAGGCACATCCCATATTCTTATGTTTAACATGTCCAGAAGGAAAAATAATGTGGTATAATACCTAAAAGGTATGTAAAAATAATTCTTCAAATCATTCTTAATATTTTTAAGATTCATCCAAAGTGTTAGGCATGTGATTATATTTCATTTTTATTAGTTGTACATTTCAGTTCAAATGTCCCACAACTTGTTCATTCTTTTCTTAACAGACATTTGAGTTATTTCTAGTTTCTGTTATTTTGAACATTGTTACTGTAAGCATATTTGTACCATGCAGCTTAAAGAATATTCTTGTATACATATATCTGAAATATTTATATGTGTTGGTGTGTACCCATACTGATTTATATCTGCAAGTATACCTGTTGCATAACTCTAGAGTAGACACAGTAGTCCCCCCTTATCCATGATTTTGCTTTTTATGGTCTCAGTGACCTGTGGCCAACTGAAGCTTGAAAATATTAAATGGAAAGTTTCAGAAATAAGCAATTCATAAGTTTTATATTGTGCACCTGTTCTGAGTAGCATGATGAAATCTGGTGCCATTCCATTTTGTCCTGCCCAGCATATATATGGCTGGGTACTATCTGCAGCTTGTCATCCACTGAAATTGCCCATGGGTAAGAGGAGACTATTATAATTAGGAGTGGAATTAGGGCCATAGAGGATGCAAATATTAGCTTTTGCACATCCTCCAGTAATTTATTCTTCCAACATTGGGTATTATCCAATTTTTGTTGTTGTTGCTCACTATCAAATATCTTTTTATGCTCCTAATTTTATTACCTTTATTAGTAATGATGATTAGCATTTTATTTCTCCTCCTCCTTCTGCCAATAATGTTTCTTTTAGGAAATATTTTTCTTTAAAATTTATCTTTATTGTTGAAAGTTTACAGCTGTCCCCCTCTTCTCTCTTCATTGACTCCCATCTTCCCCTCACGCTGCTCACCTCCCTCAGGTCTTCACAACATTATTGTCTGTGTCTGTGGGTTGTGCATATAAGTTCTTTGGTTAATGTCTTCCCGCTCCTCCACCCCCCTTCCCTGAGATTCATCAGTCTCTTCCATATCTCTGTATCTATTGTGTGTATCAGTTTATTTTGTTTATTAGATACCACATATAAGTGAGATTATGTGATACTTGTTTTTCTCTGAGTGGCTTATTTTGCTTAGCATAATACTCTCCAGGTCTCTGCATGCTGTCTCAAAGGGTAAGAGATCTTTCTTTTTTTATACCTGCATAGTAATCCATTCTATAAATGTACCACAATGCTTTTATCCATTTATCTACTAATGGGCAATTGTTCTGTTTGAAATGACAATGAGGTATCATCTTACACCTGCCAGAATGGCTATTATAAACAAATCAACAAACAACAAACAGGGACTACTCTTTTGAATATTTGTGTATTGAATTTTTAAAAATATTGCTTTGTAGGACTTTGACAAATGCTCTAGTTATTTCTCTTTTGACAGTTGAATATATTTTGAAATTTTCTTCTTCCAGTTTGTGGCTTAATCTTCTTTTTATGATGGATTTTGATAAATAAGAGTCTTTGATATAATTCAATTTAATATTTGAATTATCTATCTTTATTTGTGGTTCCTGGGCATTGATTGTGCTTAGTTAAAAATATTCATTATGACCTTAAGATCAGAAATATAGTTCTTTAAACTTTCTTCTACAGATTTTAAAGCTTTAATTTCATATTTAAATACATCATTTGGAATTGATTTTTATGAATTGTGTGAAATAGAAATCCAATTTTTTTTTTTTATCATAGTAAACCAAATATTCAAATATGATTTATCTAACAGTTCACTCTTTCCTTGATGATCTGCAATGCTGCTCCTGTATCTATCTAAGTGTCTGTTTCTGGGCTCTCTATGCTGTTCTATTGTTTTAGTTATTTTGGACCAATACCTCAATGCCAATAATTATATCTCTGTCATAAATGTATGGTATTTGATAGGGTAGACCAGCCATCTTATTCTAAATTAGGAACACCTAGGTATTCTTTAAATAAATTTTAAAATCAACTTGTCAAGTTAAATTAAAAATTCTGTTGGAATTTATTTAGAATCACTTTGATTCTTTACGTTAGTTGCGAAGAACTTTATACATTTTAATATGAATATTTAATGTAATAAGGTCTAAAGTTAAAAAATACCCTAATGCCCTCCTCGTGTCCCTTCTCACTTATATGCCTCTCCCTCCCTCTCTCTCTCTTTCTCTCTCTCTCTCTCTCTCTCTCTCTCTCTCTCTCTCTCTCTCTCTATATATATATATATATATATATATATATATATAATTGATTTTTTTACAGAGAGGAAGGGAGAGGGATAGAGAGTTAGAAACATCTATCAGCTGCCTCCTGCACACCCTCTACTGAGATGTGCCCACAATCAAGGTACATGCCCTTGAATTGAACCTGTGACCACTCAGTCCCCAGGCTGATGCTCTTATCTACTGAGCCAAACTGGTTAGGGCCATAGTTTAATTTTTTATGCCACTGAGTTATTTTAAGCCCCAATTCACTCAACATAATTTACTTGAGTCATCTGTTTATCATGAATTCTCTCCAATATAAACTTCTGTACTTACTTACAAATATCTTTTATGGTAAATTAAAGTAATTTCTTAAGAGAAAGTAAAAAGGGAAATTGAGGGAGAAAAATATATGAGGGGACCCATTTTATACAGCTATTAACACTGTAAATGTGAGTGATTTTTCTTCTACAAGAAAGGAGAGTAATCTTAGAAGCAGAAAAAGCCAATTTGACAAACACAGACACAAAAGAGAGCTGCTATAGCTGATTTACACAATAAGTTGGACCTAACAATTCCATCATATGACCCAAGGAGAACTGCGATAGTCAGTAAAACAACTTGACCAAAGACCTGTCATCCCCACCTGAGGCCCAGAAAAATCCTTTACTCCAAGCAGGTGAAAATAGGACAGTAGTTCTCAGGAACACAAAAAACGTGACAAAGAAAAGCTCTTGTAATGTACCCTGTCTTGTAAAATTGACCCAAGGCAAAGTTTATCAAAAGGATGCTGCTTTGATGAGATCTTCTAAACATGCCAGTACTCATTGGCTCAGGACTTATCAGGCCCATTTCTATCTTATCTCTTTAGACTTTATCTTATCAACTCCCAACAAAGTTTCAAGAACAGACTGAGAGACAAATGGTATTGTTGTTAGAGGACAAAATAAACTTGACATTTGGGATTTCAACAAAAAAGTGGCGCTCAGTTACCAATGTGTTGCTTACCTTACCTTCATGGTTGGAGAGACCCCTGAGTGAAAGACTTAGGGAGGTATCCTGTCTGAAACCAAGTGTTGAGCCAGGATAGTAAGTAGATTTTAAATGGATCTCAGTGGAACATCCAGGATTTTTTATATTGTTCTCTTAAAGTAGGGGTGTCGAACTCAATCAGAGAAGGGGCCAAAATCTAAAATCCAGCCTAAATCGCGGGCCGAATGGTTTACTGAACAGTCATAAACTGTCATTGTGATGGAAACGCAGCGGAGTGCAGTGATGACAGCGCGGTGCGGGCCACATTGCAAGGCCTGGCGGGACGGATTTGGCCCGCGGGCCTTGTGTTTGACACATGTGTCTTAAAGGACCACCAGAAAACCTAGTTGATCCAGCAAAGTTTTGATAAATATGTAAAGGATAGTGTATTCAGGCGAGCCTCCCTAGCTTAAAAATATTTCAACTCTTTAAGCTTTCTTAGTACAATTTCACATTTCTTGTTCCCTCCCATCAAAGGAGCTTCCCTAATAGAACCTACTACTTCCCTAATAGAACCCAACTGTATGCATCTTTCAACTTTCTTAGTATTGAATTGGAACTACTCCCTGGAATTATGCTAAGAGTAGAGCCCAATCACATTATAGGCTATGGAAATGGAAACTTATTGAATTTACATAATGCACAACCTTCATGTTAGCTACACATAAAAGGTCAAATGGACAAAGATGAGAAGGAAGGTGGAATGGGTGATTAAAGGAGATCTATGTATGTGTGAGTGAGAGAGAGATTAGCCTTGTGATATGTGATACTATCATTTTTTCCCCCCTTAATTTTTTAGAGATCTCCAAGTCATCTTTTTTGGTGGTTCTCAAAGTTTTCAAGACTTTACAGGGGAGATTATACCTTATGAGAAGATCTTCATTCACCCAAACTTCAATGCCACTTCTCCTAAAAATGACCTCATGCTGATAAAGTTGTCTGTACCTTTCACCTTTGTCACTGAGTTTTTTCAGTTGCCTACTCTTGTGAATAATAAAGTTAAAGATTGCTTGATTCACACCTGGTTACAGGGTGAAGATTATTTTGGTGAGTGATTGTCAAAAGGAAGAGTTAGTTGTATTCTTGGATATAATCATACCTTCAGATCTCTGGGGAATTAGGAAAAGGAATTGGAATTTATAGCCCCAGTGCCAGATTTCTAAGCACATGTGTGAAACTAGAAATGGAGCAACCATATTGACTCTCTAAATTAGAAGGGGGGTGGAATCTCCTTTAGGGCTTTGAGAATCAAATCCAAAATCAAGGGGTCACATGTATATATCATATTGGTACATGCAGTAGGGGGCTAGGATGCAGTATCTATGCTTGAGTGTTGGTTCTGCCATTTATTATAGGGTTATGGACACATTATTTAATTTATATGAATCTTAACTTGAAAATGTATGAAAATCATATTTCCCTTTGTCTAACAGAGTGATATTGTTATCATTACAACATCAACAATAGATACCATTTATTGAGCACTAATTATGTGCTAGGCATAAGTCCCTTCCACATATTATTCAGTTGTCATCATACCTCATGTTTTCTTAGGATTTATATCTTTTAAGTGAGAACACCAAGACTCAGGGAGATTAATTCATTGTCCACGGTAATACACTTTTTAAAAAAATATATTTTATTGATTTTTTACAGAGAGGAAGGGAGACAGATAGAGAGCTAGAAACATCGATGAGAGAGAAACATTGACCAGCTGCCTCTCGCACACCCCCTACTGGGGATGTGCCCGCAACCAATATACATGCCCTTGACCGGAATCGAACCTGGGACCTTTCAGTCCGCAGACCGATGCTCTACCACTGAGCCAAACCAGTTTCAGCATGGTAATACACTTGGTGATGGCAAAGCTTGGATTCAGATCTTGCTTGCTCATTGATGATAAACTGAGCAGGAGGACATATTTAATCCATGATGAGTTATATCAGTTCTTCTCTGCATTTCTTTTTTTGTTGTTGTTGCCAATTTTTATCCAAGGATATTTTTTTACCAATGATTTTTAGAGTGGAAGGGGTGAGGGGGAGAGAGAAACATCGATGTGAGAGTTTGGTTGCCTCTCTCCCTTATGTGCCCCAACTGGGCCTTGGGTTTGAATGTGCAACCCAGGTACATGCCCTTGACCTGGAATTTAACCCATTATCCTTCGGAGTGCAGGCTGATGCTCTAACCACTTAGATACACCAGCTAGGACTATAGTCTATTTTAACCAAGAATAAGCCCCAAAGTAGGAGGAGGCAGGATGTACTATGAAAATGCAGACAGGAATGGAAATCTCTCTTATTTCTTGTGCTCAGGAAATAAAGATTATCACCTGCACAACATTCGTATACAATTGAATCCTCATTTAGACTGCAAAAAATTACTGGGTAAAAAATTCCTTGAAGACATGTTCTGTATGCGAAGCAAAGTAGGAAGCCAAGAGCAATGCCAGGTAACTTTCCTTATTTCATTTTTATAAATGTAGCTTTTCTTTCTGGGTGTGTGTCTCTGTTACCAATCATCCTTTGTCAAAGCTGTGGAATTTACAGTCAACCTAAGAGATCTGAGAGGAAAGAGCTAAAGAAGGATGACTCTCTATCCTCTTCCCTGTGTTAGAGGTGAAAGAAATAGATACTCTGTGAATTCAAAGCTATTTTTCCAGCTACTGCTTTGAAATTTCTGTCTCTATGGGTTACTAGGGGTAGTTAATACAGTGAAGAGAAGCCTTCAAAATATTTTCTTATATCCTTGGCTCATTTGCATGGCAAATACAGTGGCTTTCACTTTTGTTCAGGTGTTGAGGAATTCTCAGGTGGGAGGGAAGTTCTGATCGCTCTACTCTGTCTGGCAGGTGGTCACAGCAGCACCAGTCATATGTGGCTATGAATTACAAGGAGTTATGTCTTGGGCAACTGGATGTATTCTGACAGGACACACTATTGTCTTCACTGACCTCTACAGCTACAGTGCATGGATCAAGAACATTACTTCTACGAAATAAGCTGATCTGGAGCTCCACTGACACCCTACATCCCAACTGACTCTTGGCAACCACATTATGTATCTCAGTCCCAGGCTTTCTTAGGATCTAGGCTTGGTTGAAGTTTCAAAAGAGATCAGTGATGACATCTGGGTGTTGGCATGGCTCTAGTTTCTTTCACTGCTTTCTTGTTTATCCCCAACTCATGAATACCTGCTTACAACATTGAAAACATGAATGTTGGTGTCAAGAAGTGGAGGTCACTCAAGAAGATTTTGGATCCTACTAAAAGCTACTTCTCTTAAAATACTCTTTTTTCTATCCTAAAAAACAAAAAAACAAAAAAGACAAGTAGAAATGAGTGTCAATAACTACCAGGCATTCATCTGGGCAACATATAAACCACATGCCACAGTATGTGAACAGTAATTTGCTAAAAATTGATTAGATGATTTAGCAATTCTTCTAAAGACCAATTGTCTATTGGGTCAGTGTGCGTGTGCATGTCTATGAGTGGTTGTCGTTAATTTTTTTCATTAGCTACTTAAAAGATTCTAGAATTCAAGTTTTGTTTAGGTTTGCTGAGGCTATGCAAAGGTCAGTATAATTTTTGGAATAAGGATTTCTTTATTTAAACAACAGCTATAGTACAAATATTATGAATATCAAGGATTTAATAAATGGTAGGATGATTTTTTTCTAATACATTCTTACCCATAAGGTGAGCCTATCATGCCAAGTTGCCACACTACTTTAAAACTTATAAAAGGGCTTTCCACCCCCCCCCCCCCACCCTTTGTGGGCTTCCTGAGTGACTGTCAAGGGGTAGAAGGTACCATCAAGAATCTGAGTAATTATATCCTGTGCATGAACTTAGATCAATGAGCAATGAGACAGGATTGCTACACAAACTCCCACTGTTCTCTCCCTGCTGGGGGCTGCCCTGAGATGTGGTTATGTCTTTCACATCTTCCTGTAGCTTTGCTTCATGTCTCTCTTTGCCTCACTCACACTTAATTCACCACCCTTACTTCCTGGGGTTTCCAACTTTCAAATTGTCTTTAATCCATATCTCTGCTTTCCGAAGAGCCATCTTTATTCTAATATGGCATCTGAAGTCCAGAATCAGTCAGGGAGCTCCTGGATTTGTGTCTGGATCTCATACCAAGGCAGATTGCCACAAATGTTTTTAAATATTTACTTTTTGGTTTGTAATTTTTTTTTCACAGCACAGTAGCAAACTGTTCAAGGACCAGTATTGGTCCACACACCACACATACACAGACCTGATAATGCTAGTTCTACAGAAGGCTCACAGCCTCAAGTTCTGTTCTTGTTGTCATCTCCACCCCACACCTCTGTTCCGTTGGTGAACTTGAATGGTTCAGAGGATGTCAGAGGAACTTATATAACCCATCCATTTATGCATTAAGTAATTCACATTTCATTGTATTTCTTCTTTATTTGGAGATTGGATTGATGGTTTAGGACCCTGGAGCACCTGCCATTATGTTTAATGGGGGGAAATAAAAATTTGTTTCTTAGGCATTTAGATGACCTATAGATGGCTATTATATCTATAGATATTTATAATATTTGTAGCTAGATATTATATATATATATATATATATATATATATATATATATATATACCACATTATTATTTCTCTTAGACTCCATCCTGTCTTATTGAATTGAGGCCCAAAGCTCTGCTACTCAAAATATTTTTCAGCCTATTACACAGGAGAGGAGGTTCATTTGTAAGGGAAGTAGTAGATATTAAGGGTTGATATGAAGCTGTAGAATCATAGAGCTCTACTTTCAAAATCCAGTCTCACTATTAATTAACTGTGTGTCTGGGGGAAAGTGAAACCTTAACCAAACTCAGTTTTGCCATTCCACAGATGGGTAAGAATAACTACTGACTAAGGAATCAGATTGTGGAGTCAGGCTGCTGGCATTTATATCCTGGCTTTATTATAACTTATGAGAATCTTGACTATGTTCCCTCATCTCTGTTTTATTTTCCTTATCTGTTAAAATGCCATAAATTGAAATCATTGTTCTATCATTATTCCCTCAGAAGAAAATCACTCTCTTTGAAAATCACAATACCTGTCTGCATTTATCAAAGAGCATTTGGCTTTTTAGTTGGCAAAACTTTTCTAGATATGAGCATCTGGGGACTCCTTTATTTATTCACAAGTACATTTATTCCCCTTTTAACAAAAACTTACTGAAAACTTGCACTATATTCCATACTGCATCAGACTGTGAACACTGCAAAAATGAACCCTGTCCCTGAACCAGGAACTGTGAACTAAAAGCCACGTAACTGGGATAAGACATATCCACAAATAACGACAGTGTACTGCTGAACCTGTGAAGTTCTTGAGGAGAGGTGCCGAGTGCTTAGGAAATTCCAAGAGGAAGAGAGAACATCTAGATGGAAGAACAGCTTACTTGAGCTAGTCCATAAGCTCTGGGTAAAATATTAATGAACAAAGATGGGAAGAGAGGGCATTTCAAGAACCAGCATGAACAGGAGTCTGAATTCAGGGAGATAGGGATAGCAGTTGGAAAGTAAGCAGTAGGTAAACAGTAAGTAGTCCAGAATGGGGGTGGGGAGAACAGTACAGGGTAAGTGAACACAGATTAACTGGATATAAATAACCAGATGGGTAGATTATATGATAGAGTGTGATAGGTGATTATTAGGGTAGTTTCATTTACTCCCTGTCTCACTGGTTTCTAAGAGAGGTTATCCCTAAACACTTCTATCTCTTGCCCTACTCCCCCTTGTATTTCTAAAGGAAGGTGGAGGCATCTTTCTGCTTGTTGAGTTCAGGGACAGAGACCAAGCTCACTCCTTTCCCCTTCCTTTTATATGGTCCCCCTAAGAGCCAACCACCCAGCAACTCCAAGCAATGGGCTTGTAGGGGCAGAGCTAGAGAAGGGGTAGGGGTGGGGGTGGAGATAAGCCTTCAGCTTAGTATCACTGCCTGAGGTGTATCTATCCCACCTATCCAAGCCTTATACTTCAGTCAACTTTTATCCATGATAGACTATTTATTTATATATACATGTTGATCTCCATCAACTTCTCTTCCTTTTATGTGTGTTCTTGATGTTTTATTACAAGACATAATCCAAAAGTATCAGTCTCCTATTGATACAGAACAAAAATAACATTAGTCTCCACATTCCACAGGATGATAGGCAGACACCCACACCCCTGCCCCATCCTTTCCCTCTGTGAGCCTCCTTGAATCTTCAAGGAGTTGGTCATCAGAAAAAGCAGTTTTCTCTGTTCTGCTTCAGTCTTCCAACTAAATCAGTTTGCCAGTCTTATTTGTCTTGTGTTTGACTTCGCTCAAGGTTATTTTGACAGGCAAAAATTAAACTTTAAGACATTTTTATGTAGTCAAATCTATCATTTATTTTATGCTTCTGGGCTTTGTATCACTGAAAATATTTTTGTACTCCAAACTTTAAAGGAAATTTACCAATTCTCCTTTTTTCCATTTAAAAATTTTACATTTAGCTCTTCTATCTATTTGGAGCTTATTCTAGAATAGATGTGTGGGGAAATTTCACTGAACTTCTATTATGTGCCAAAATCAAGTGATTTCTACAGAATATTTTTGAGTCTTATAATTTCAAACTTGGTAGATTCTAAGAGATCTTCAGAGCAATTTATTATGTACAAGAAACCCTCTATAAAACAGTATCTTATATTAATAATGATCACTAGAGCAGGAATCAGGAGACCCTTGTCACTGAACCCATTTTGCTATTAAATTGCTGTGTGATCTTGAGTAAATCATTTGACTCTAATATTAGTGTTGTATTATAAATCAGCGAGCTGACGTGAGACACTTTAAAAAGCCAAATTTTGGAGTCCTTTAATACACCAGTGGGCTTAGAGGAATTGTATTCAATCTAAGCAAAAAACATGGATTTTTTAAATATACTTTTTTTAATCCTTTGTCTTCCAAATTTGGAATGAGACTTCTGGACCTTCTGAGAAAGAAGGTCTGTGTGCTGAGAAGGGGCCATAAAACTATATCTCAGTGCCTGTCTGGAATCAGCACTGACAACTCTGCTGGGGCAGTTTATGGCCTCTGGAATGGGAGTAATCTTATTTTTTCCATTATTTAAGCAAGCAAGCATTTACAAAAGCCAAAATAGCAGGGTTAAATTTCAAACAGCAGTTTTCACATAAGATTGAGGTTACTAAACTTCATTAGATATTGACTATCCTACATATCAATTTTTTACTTATATGTATAAAAAATCAATTTGTAATTTCAAAACTTACAGAAAAGCTTCAATAATCAAAACAGTGTGTTACAAATATATTGGGTAGATATGTAGATCACTAGAATAGAATTGAAAGTCCAGAAACAAATTCATATGGCCAATTGATTTTCAACAAGTGTTCCAAAAATATTCAACAGGAAAAGAATAATTTCAATAACAAATAGTTCTGGGAAAACTGGATTTCCACCTGTTAAAAAATAAAGTGGGACCCCTACCTCATGCTATTCATAAAAATTAACTCAAAATGGATCGGTGACCTAAATATAAGAGCTAAAATCATAAAAATCTTACAAGAAAAGATAGAGTTAAATCTTTATGACTTTGGATTTGCCAATAGATTCTCAAAAGCATGAGAAACAAAAGAGAAATAGATAGTTTATCAAAATTAAAAACTTATTCATCAAAAGACATTATCAAGAAAGTGAAAAGACAACCTACAAAATAGGATGAAATATTTGCAAATCAGTTATCTATAAGGTTTACTATCCAGAATACAGAGAGGATTTGTACAATTCAACAAGAAAGACATAGTTATTATTTTCTGTACATTTATTTTTTTTAATTATATAGTGAATAAAGTGGAGTTACAAACAAACAAAAACAACAACAACAATAAAATTGGCTTATATTAACCCTGGCTTTTATATTAATAAATATTTATATTTTCATGTGGCTTCAAGTGTATTTTCATATCAATCTGAAGGACTCTTTTTGGCATTTCACTTAGGACAAGTCTATTAGAAACAAACTTCCTCAGGTTTTGTTTATCTCAGATTGTCTTCATTATCCCTCATTTTTAAAGGAAATTTTTGCTGGAACCAGAAGTTTTGGATGACAGTTTTTCCTTTCAATACTTTTTAATTTAGTTTTTGTAAATCCTCACCCGAGGATATTTTTTCATTGATTTTTAGAGAGAGTGGAAAGGAGGTGGAGAGACACACAGAGAGAAAAATTGATGGGAGAGAGACACATCAAATGGTTGCCTCCCCCACACATCCTGACCAGGGCCAGAGATCAAGCCTGCACCTGAGATACATGCCTTGACATGAATCAAACTTGAGACCCTTCAGTCTGAGGATGGATGCTCTATTCACTGAGCCAAACTGGCTAGGGCTCCTTTCAACACTTTAAATATGCTACATTACTGCTTTCACTGTCCTACATAATTTTTAATGAAAAATTGGCTGTTAATCTTGTGAGGATTCCTTGTACATGACAAAGTATCTTTCTCTTGCTGATTTCAAGATGGTCGCTTTGTCTTTCTCTTTGACTTGACTATACTGTGCCTTCATATAGATCTCTCTGAGTTTATCCTACATAAAGCAAAAGGTTGGTGTCTTCTCAGATTTTTTCTGAATATGCATCTTGCCCTGTACATATATATGGGGCTTTTAAATTCCCTAGTAAGTGCATATGATTTTAATTCCCATATTTTGCCAAAGAAACTTCCCAGTTTCCCTGCTGAGGCTTTAGATGGTCTATTGTATCCTTAACAATAAATAATCTTTTGCCCCAGGTGGCTGCAGTTTTTTAGTAAACAAAAGCCCATTTGGGCAATACTCATCTCTTTTTGCCCTGAATAAGCTCTGTATAACATCAAACAAAGATTAATCTCCTATATGAATCCATCAGGTAGCC